AACTTACGGACTGCATCTTTAAGAATTACTTAACTATAATAACCCAGGTCTGAAACAGACTGACGTCTCTAACTGACGTCTTCAGTCCAACACAACATTTTTCAGTCCTCATTGAGAGCAAAATACTAAGCAAGAAAATCACAGCCAATCACAACATACTTCAGGTTTAATACGCAGCATTGTGGACCAATGAGATTTTACTGTGGGCAGGGATAAATGGTTTTGGGTCAAAAAAAGAAAATGCAAACAAAAGTTCCTGTTTATAATGAATATACATCTTTGCTGTAAAATATTTCATAGGCTAAATATAGCTGTCATTTAGAATAAAACATAGTTATATGTGATTTGTAGGTGAATTGTTTGTGTGAGTCAGTTCTTTTCTAAAAACTGCTTCGCAAAATGTTCTGAATGATTCATTAATGAATCTTTTTGAATTTACATTTACAATTATGCATTTGGCAGACGCTTTTATCCAAAGCAACTTATAGTGAATTATATATAGGGAATCGAACCCATGCATTGGCGTTTCTAGCTTCTTTACTCTTTCAGCTACAAGAATGCTAATCTGAGCAACTTTATGCTGTAAACAACTAGAAAGGTCATTGAAAAGTTATGGTGATTCAGTGGTAAATAAGGTTTGGAAACCTTGGAAAAGAACCTGATTTTAGCTCAAACGCTGCAGGATGAGTTTTGAGGTTTGGTCACATCAACAACTATGAACACTAGTAATCGTGACGCTTGCCAATAGTTGTGTTGCTCAGTAATCGCGTGAAATCTTTTGCATGTCTAGAATGGAATATGAACATGTGCGAGGCATGTTGCGAGGCGTGTGTTATCCTGCATGCGTCTATGTGCTGCTATAATGCGAGGAGGCAGTTTCGTGATTAAACAGCATGTGTTTCATGTTTTGAAGGCATGTGTTTTCTTTCCAAATCATGTTGGGATCTGACACACACGCGCACACACACACGTGCATGGATGTTTTCATATTGTTCGCATGCATTTCCTGCGAGAGGGGAGGAGGACGGCGGGCGTTTGAAGGGGCTTTGATCTGCGTGCTTTACGGTCTGTGTCAGCGCTGGGACTGCTGGGAGCTTTTGTCCGGCTGTTCCCACCTCTAATTAAGACGTCGTCTGTGTTTGCGGACAGGGATGGAGCGCTTTTACTCTTCCTGTTTTCCTATTATATACAATTATATACAATAGAGCTACATGTATATGTGTATGTCACATTACAGAAGTCGTATGGGTTTGGAATGACGTCTCATGACGTGTTTGTGACGCATGTCTTTGTTTGGTTGTTATCAGGAGGAAGTGACACCCTCTTTTGAATGTTTTCTCCACTCACAGTGTTTGTACTGTAGTCCGTTCTCCTGTCTGACGTGTGCTGGAATGTACAGTGATTTAAGTGGCCATCGCACAGCCCACTTAACACACACTCAACACTCAGCATCACTGAACACACACCCTTAAAGGGACAGTACACCCAAAAATAAATTCTGTCATCATTTCCTCAGCCCAAATCCGTATGACTTTCTTCTATGTGTGAATTGCAAATATAGATGCTTATAAAAGGAAAACAAAAGCCATACAGGACTGGAAGAACGTGAGTGTGAGTGAATGATGTCTTCTCTTAATGGATGACCTGTTCCTTTAAGACACTCTCGTTAGACTGTATTGTGGATTTACTAGGACTTTGATGTCAAAGGTCATCGTCGGGATCACTGATAACAGGCTAGACGAGCGCTTTAACTAAGCTGTTTCGACTCCAGACGTGTGTTTGAGATGCTTGTCTGCACAAGGTCAAGGTTTTTATCTAGTCTTGAGTGGAAGAAATTAGCTTTGTTTTTCCACTATGGCCTGCTTACAGTGAACGCAGCCTGACATGACTGCTGCTGTGTGGATTTCTGGGATGAAACTTTGGCAGGGCAGCGTTACGCTGGAAATAACAGGGTGTTTGGGCCAAAAAAACCCAAGTGCCCTCCCTTAGAGAGTATCTGTGTGTGTGTGTGGTGTGCGTCTGTTGTTGTTGTCGCCAGGTTTTGCTGCCACGTACACACACACACACACACACA